GAATGAACTAATCTCTACTTTACAAAAAAACTAGTCACCAACTCAGTGTACATGAAATTATCAAGCTAAATAGTAATGTAAAGTTTAAAAAATATAATTTTCCCTTAAGAATAGTTAAAAAGTTTTTAATCAACATTATATCTTCAATCAATATTGTTAAAAACATTAAATATGGGGAGTCTTAGGAATTTATCTCCCATAAAGTATGTAGTGTAGGTTCTTTTAATAGTAACAACATATTTTGTTTTCAATTAGGTTTAAACTTTACAGTAATTCAAACTCATAAGGCATTAATTACTGGTTTAAAATTCATAAAGATTTATTTAGAGACTCTACTGCAGCCTCAAAGATTAATAAGTCTCATTCCAAATAAAACGTTTTAGTACAGTTTTTCTATATTTTACAAGGAATATTATACTTGTTTTTTGCACTATTATAGAATTGTCATCAGGGTAACTTTACTTGACACTGTTGGAGTATAATGTGAATTAGCTCAACACTATCAATCAGAGTCAGAACTAATGCTCTCATGTCATTGGTACAAAAATGCTATAAATTATCCTGAGGATAGAGTGATGAATACATATTTTGTTCTATCATACACAATATCATACAATAGAACAAGTGTAATAGGTCTTATGCTTGCACCACTGACATATGACTTTTAGAAACATCACTCATAGAAGGACTGGATATTATACTCTGAACACAACCAAGTCTGTCCAAGTTTAATTAAAAAGAAATTGACTTGAATGGGAACAAAATCTTTAAAGTTGAAAGTTCATAGATTAAGAAGATTTATACCTTCCAATTTTCCAGACTTAAAATTAAGCTTTTGTTCTAGTAATTGTTATTAAGTTGACCTTTTATCAATATACTTAATGTACAGAGATTAGATTTCTATTATAAGCAGAAGTTGAGCCTACTAGAATTCAACCCCAAATGCCTATTAAGCATATTAGCATTTTGACCAACTAAAACCAAACACTATAGAAAAGCTAAACACACTATAACACTGAAATGGTTTACAAAGCTAACAGTACTAAGCTACAAACATTATTGAATTTCATATTATGCAAGTTTTCAAATGCTAAGCAAGTATGAATTATTTTAGTATCATTAAAATAGTCACAATTTATGTTTTGTTGTCTGAAAGAAGATGTTTGGAACCAAACCTCCTGGAATGAATGCTGTAACCTTCAGTATTGTTCAATACATGCAGAGATTATGTACAAAACTGCATTCTTACAGTTTCAAAATTAACATTATGGAGAATGATTTGTCTTCAAAAAATTATCTTTGTCTATTTATTGACTTATGCTACTGCTAAGTGCCCATACAAAATGTCAAGAAACATTTAGTAACTTTGTGTGGTGTCTATATTCTCTTTTCACAAAAATATAAATAAAGAAGAAAAAGAAAACAACAATTATAAAGTTATGCTTATTTAGACATATTCAAATGATTGTTTAGTCCAAATAAATATATTTTTAAATTTTTAAGTTCTAGTTAAGATTAGTGGATTATTCTAATCAAAAGAATACTGAAAAAATATATCTAAAACCTAAATTTTCAAAAACATGATAAAGCAAACAAACTTGAAACTTTCACATAAACTACTTAAAGAAACTGGAAAATACACAAAACTGCAGAGAAATTTAAATAAATCCTTCAAAAATTGATGAATTATTAAATATTTATACATAAAAAGTGTAACAATGAAACAAATGTTTAAATAAAGAAAAGATACTGAAAGTCTTATAACATTTTAAAAGTAGACTTATTTCTTCACATAAATCTTCCTTGCATAAGTTTGTATGTTCATGAAAATAGTGTTTTTATGGTATGTTCTTTGAGGTTCTAAAGTTTAAAAAAATGTTAATAGATATATTTTTGTCAATAAAAATAGATCTTTACCATGTACATTTTCAGACAAAAATATTAGCAACCTATACTCAATAAAACATCTGAAATACACAATATTCTCTGGCATGATGAGATTAAAATAGAACTTTTCCCAGAAATTGGCTACAGTATGTTTTGAAAAAAAAAGGGGAAAGACCTCATTCAGGAACACCTTGTACCTACAATGAAACTTGGAAGTGGTTTGATCAAGATGAGGGGGTGTTTTAGTAGTGTACAGAATGGAAAGATTTTAGTGAATGAAAAGCAAATGAATACAGCCATGTATCAAAACATTCTTAAAAATACAATGATACTATCTGCTTGTAGGCAGATGGTTTATCTTCCAACACAACGAGTACCCAAAGCATATGGCTAGTTCAACTCTGGAATTCATGATGAAATCAAAGATAAAAGTTCTAGAATGGCCTTCGCAGACACCAGATTTCAATCCAAAAGATATTATTTGATAAAAGCTGTAGCCAAGCATTGTATGTGTTCAATTTGTCTGAACTGAATGAAATGTGCAAGATAGAATGGGCCCAGATTATTCCAACAAAGATATAATGCACTGGTTGAAAATTGTAATAAATGTCTTAATACTGTAATCAAAGCAAAATGAGGATACATGAAATACTAAAGCAGGGGTGCCAAAACTTTTGTCTTGAACAACTACTTTAAATGACATATATATATATATATATTTTTCTTATAAAACTCATTTGTCAAGTTTCTAGAAATTGTGTATTTTGCATTTTTGTTTTCTTAAAACTGGTTAAGTTTTACCCAATGCTTATCCTTTAAATGTTACCTTCACTTATGGTATAATAAGCAGAGGGTGTCAGTACTTTTGTGTCATGTATTTCATATGTACCAACAAACATTTTAATGCATGTTCAAAGTATGCATTTTAAGACTTATTCTAAAGATCAAGTGCTAAAGCAAATCTACTTATACACGTGTGAGTACACATGGACTTAAAATTTGAAATCAAAGCAGATATCAATCAATAATTATGAGTAAGAAAGTAAGCACAGCAAATACAATGCCTAAATATTTGAAATGACCCAAAGGGATTAACAAGAAATATGCTAGATAAACAATCTTGGAAATATATGGTTACACATCAATTAGAAATTTTACTAGTTTGCTTCATAGTCATGTACCAGTTCATAACTTGAATGTATATCAACTATCAGTGATAAATTGAAAATACAATAACACACATATATGTATGTATATATATATGGCTATTTTGTTTACCACAAATTGCAAGATTACCCTGTATAAATCAAATTCAGTACAAACAATTGTAAGGACATAACTATCTTTGAACTTAAAAAGAAAATAGAATATGTTACAATTATAAAAAACATGAATATCATGCTTCATTATTTTGTTCATTATTAAATTTATTAGGTAAATTTAATTTATTCCTAAATAAGGTTCAATGTAAGAAAACACAAAGATATTAAAATATTCCAACATTCCATGTCAAAGACCAGGTCATACTTTGAGTAAATGTCAGAAAGAATTTGATCCTGTGATAAAATGTCTTGATGCAATAAAGAAACATGATGTAGGATTATAATTACTTAAAAAACTGTTGAAAAAAGTTTAAAGAAGGGGATACTAAGATGATACCTTGAAAGAAAAGGTTGTTATAGGAGGTAAGGTTGAGATCTTTGAAATTATTTTCTCTTGAAAAAAAAATAGTAGTTAGAATGGATCTGATGAAGGTGTCAAAGGTAGGAGTCACTCATCTTCAGCTAATACAGTTTTTACCTTTCTAACAGGGTGGTTGTTCTTTGGAATGGATTTTCTTCTGATGCAGTTTGAGGGAAAGCTTGATAAAAAAATATATATAAGGGCTAGCTTGGAGTTTATACTCCCCCTTGATTGTTATGTTGCTCATATCTAGACTTTAATGGTTTGTTTGTTTGAAGTTAAGCACAAAGCTACACAATGGGCTATCTGTGCTCTGCCCACCACGGGTGTCAAAACCCGGTTTCTAGCTTAGTAAGTCTGCAGACATACTGCTGTGCCACTGGGGGGGGATATGAATTTATTACATTTATTTATTTATTATTATGGGGGAGGGGCACCCATTTATTTAGGGGGTCACATCTTGGAAAGTTAACCTAAATAAATTAACTCGTATTCACTACTATTAATCGTCACTATACGTTAATTAATAAATTATATGACAGCGCATTATTATGAAACACTCACACGAATATGGTTTCCCGGATTTCTTCTTTTAATTATTGGTATTATTCTTAAATAATTAGATTTTTTGGTTTATGCTGAATTTCGCGCAAAGTTACACGAGAGCTATCTGCACTAGCCGTTCCTAATTTAGCAGTGAAAGACTAGAGGGAAGGCAGCTACTCATCACCACCAACCGCCAATACTTGGGCTACTCTTACCAACGAATAGTGGGATTGACCGTTACATTATAAAGTCACCACGGCTAAAAGAGCGAGCATGTTTGATGGGACGGGGATTCGAACCCGCGAGTCAAGCGCCCTAACCACCTAGCTATGCCGGGCCAGTAAAGCATTAGAAACCTTTACGTCTCAGCTAGTTGTTAGTTATTATGTTTAACTTGAATTGTATTTTATTTTGGTTTTTCGTTTGATCTGTCATAGAATTTTATATCAATTTGGAATCTAAAACAAGCCCCCTTCAGAGCGTGTGAACAAGTTTAAACTTAAATGAAAATAGAACGCTTATATTTTACAAATACGTATTACATATACAGTTATTCATATTATAAATTTAATAGACAGTATTACTCTTTGTTACAAAAAACAATCCATAGTACTACAGGAGTTCGACCAGTAAATAACAGCAGACGACAATATTCTAAATGCGGCCATAAACCTTCTATGAAATCTAAAATGAACTTCTGATTGGTATATTTAACGGAAGTCACGTGATTTCCTGCGAATAAATACGTAGTTCCTGGTATTCTCAACCCCCATGTAAACCGTTCAGCGGACACCGAAATGACGTCAAATCTATCCAATAGAAATGCAGAACTGTGACATCATGCCATATTTGGAGAGCTTAGTCAGCATTATAAAGTACCATAGGCTAGAGTTATTACTGAGTCACTTTAGCACGTTGGTGTGTTTGAGTCGTGGGTTGGATTTAAGAACGTTAAGAGAAATCTATCGTAAAATCGTGCAGTTTGAGAAGTAACAGTTAGTAGTTCAACAAGGAGTCGAGAACGAAGGCCGCTGTACTGCCATTATTTACTATACAAATGTATTGTCATTATTAGGCTGCTGCAGCCAAATTTCGCCTAGAAGTCAACTGTGTGAAGCCATAGCAGTTCAGACAGCTTGCTAGAGAACGTGGCCGTCAAATGGCAGGTTTGGTAATGGAAGCGACTTTCTATGATGAAGCTCCCACTCGTCACATGTCTGATATACGCATGTTGAAGAGAAATATGACGCTGGATTTTGACAGTGTGAAAAATAATTCTCGTCAAAAGTTTGATCCTCTTCTGACTTCGCCTGACTTGAAAATGTTAAAACTGAGCACACCAGAACTAGAGCGTTTTATAACACAAAATGGAGGAGTGAATTCGACATCGACTCCTTCACAGTTTTTTCCCAAATCTGTTACTGAAGAACAAGATCAATATGCTAGGGGTTTTGTGGAAGCTCTCAACCATTTACACCAATCTACGGCTCCTAGTGCAGGCAACATTGTCCCACAACCAGTACCCACAGATTCTATGTCCCTTCCATCGGTTACGGCTGTGAGCAACAGCACGTGCACCATGTTACCATGTCAGCCACCTGCATTGACCCAACCAAACGTCACTTTAGCAGTCTCTGACTGTATGCAGCCCTCGGCTTTAGACCCCGCCCTGTGTGCCACAACAAGCGCCCAACATTACACAGTAAATTCGAACGTTGGTTACCCGATTTGCCGGACGGCAACGACGACCGTAGCAACGAGCGGCAGATACTTTTCGGGTCTAGTGAAAGACGAGCCTCAGACAGTGCCTAGCCTCGGCCAATCTCCACCGCCAATGTCACCTATCGACATGCAAGACCAAGAGAGAATTAAACTGGAAAGAAAAAGACTTCGTAATCGTATTGCAGCTAGTAAATGCCGTCGCCGCAAGCTGGAAAGAATCGCAAAATTGGAAGATAAAGTTACAATGATGAAAGGCGAAAATAGTGAATTAGGAGCAATAGTAAACAAACTTCGAGAACAAGTTGCTTCTCTTAAGCAACAAGTACTGGAGCATGTTAATAGTGGCTGTCAAATTATGAACAGTAACGTAATGTGCTTTTAACAATTTAGTAGTAACATCATATTCATATTGTACATACCGCTTTAACTTTGAAACTAGTGATCAAAGAGTTTGAGATTTGAATATGCAGAAATTGAGTCGGAAGATGGCTTACCGCCTGTGAAATTTCAACACTTCATATTGTATTACAACTACTAGTAGTACTGTACAAGTCAAGGCTTGTATTGTGTGGAGGCTTCCAAAAACTGAGTGATATTATTATGTGGCCTTTTAAAATTTGCTCAGTTACTTTGAAATGGGAGAATTTTCGTTCAGTTTTCCCGTCCCATCTAGGAAGTTAAGAATAAGAGAGTTTTATTGCGTATTTAAATATGAAACATTGTAAAACTAAAAGGTCTGTAATTTGGTAAGTGATAATATTTGCAATAAATATTAGGCCTAAAATAATGTATTACGTATATCTATAGTCTGAAACAATAGTGACGTCTGTGGTTAAACTTAAAGTTTAAACCTATAAAGTATAATATTAATTTTGATGTAGCATGCATACTGAGACTGTAACTTGTAACATAGGTGACGGCCTTTTAATATTTTTATACAAGATTTACAGTTTATGACTCGTGCTTTGTCGAAGAAAATTTTTTGTAAACAAAAGTGATGTTACTGTATAACTTATCTAGATTTTGGTAATTAAGCAATCTGACAAGATTTGTAATGATGTTTGCTCGTAAAACTTCAATATATATATATATATATATATATATATATATATATCTATCTCGTGTTAAGTTAAAAGTTTAGTTTAGTTAGTACTTACCTTACCTTACCT